TAATCAATTGGTCATAAGCATCAAGTCTAGTACTGATCTGAAGTCAAAACCGTAACTAAACCGTGACTCAAAAATGAATTTCTTGAGCTCTTATGGAGCCAGAAACTTTACTCGATTCCGAACTGTTGACTATATACTTTTAGCGCAAACTTGATTTCGTTTCGAACTACAGATATAATTGTTAGCTTAGCTGTACTGATTCTCGCCGTTTAATGTTTCTGATTGCCGAAATTGAAGGTATCAAGCCAGATTGTAAAATATTAGACTACATTATCGTTAAAGTGAAAAGCTCACCACATCTTTTTCACATTTACTGCGTTTGACTAAATCCTGAGACTTTTCTAAAGCTCTTGCCGGCGAGTTCATAGCCCATTTGTTAGTGAGTGTTCCGGATTGAAGAATTACATTCTTGAATAGACCCTGACTATCTGGTGCTATCATTTGAGCGACTATTGAGGCAGCTCCTGCTGACTCTCCGAATAGCGTGATCTTTGAAGGATCGCCACCAAAATTCGCGATGTTATCACGTACCCATTTGATGGCCATTTGCTATTGTAAAAATAGTTAGTTGATTGAAGATCAAAATTGAAAGCGATTTGTTCACATGCGTTCATCACGAACTGCTGCTTTCAGCATTCTGGACGATAGAGTTTCTCAGCGAACATGAATCGTCGCATACTTATTCTTGAGCTATCTCAAATGATAACTCTGAATTTGTATGTTCCTTTCACTGGAGCAAAAAATAACTTAAGCTAAGCAGTGCAACATAACTGACTCAATTCAAAATCAAAACCGAAATTTCAATGCACAGAACGCTTAATTAGAGTCAGTCAATACCTGCTTCCGTAATAAAGGTTTGAATCTAAAGTTCATGATGATTCATACAAAATGGGAGAAGAGTTATCGTGAACAATTTAATCTCAAGTGTTGAAGTAAACACATAAAATTCCACTTACCTGGTCAAGTAAGCCCATATTACCAGGTGCTCCCTCATTGCCGAGATACAGAAATCCGAA